AGAAGTCAGGTATACTATATACTATACTGCGCCTGATCCTAGATGAATGTAACACACACAATTATACATATATGTATTTATATTTATTATTGTTAACGAGTTTCGAGGCGATGCCGAGTGTGTGTAGTAGAGTTCATGTGAAAACTAGTTGTAACAAATTGAGGAAACAGATGGAAGCAATTTTAAAATATATCCACACACAGACACAAACATAAATGTTTAAATGAAAACCCGCAGAAACAAAAGAGAATTGTATTTGTGAAATGTGTCAGAGAATATGTAGAAGCAGGCCGAACGGGCGGCTGATCCCCCAGAGCCACTGTGTACTTAAGTCTCCCCGGAGCATCCCGCGGAACGAGTCGTTGCTGGGAGTGTCCGTCCGGCCTTTGGCTGTGGTCAAGTCTCTCTTTAATTTGTTGATTTGTTTCTGTGTTTTGTTTAGCTTAAACCCAATGGGTTCGGTTCATTGATGTATTTGTTGAGTTGAGTTTTAGTAACTTTTTATGACTTACGACAAGTCCCCCCAAAAAAAAAGAGCTACAAAACAGACCGATCAAACACACACATGTATAATATATGTATTTATTATGAATATGTTAATTAAATTTATTTTTGGTATTATCACTGAATGTTTCTATCGTAAGCAAATTTCGAGTTCTGTTAATCAAAGCTACACCACACACACACAGAAAAGCCTAAAAAAAGATTTATTTATTTTATTTACGAATAAATTTTAACAACCATTTTACTTTTTGCCTTAGTTATCGTTTCATTTTACACAGATTATTGTTGGTTTATGTAAGGATGAAAGAATGGCAGATAATGTGCGAAACATATCAAAAGCGAAGCAAGAATGCAAGCAACCGAGAAACCTAGCAGAATAATCCACCAGCAATATTTAAAGAAAATCAAATCAAACCACCAGATAGGCAACTGATTAGTAGAGATTACTTACTACAAAACTATAGTTAACTGAACAAACAAACTAACTAACTAACTAGATATGGACAATCCGATTTATGAAGTATGCTCTCAATAAGATAAATCTATAGATACAAATACGATAAACGATAAACGATATACGATATACGATACGATATGTAAATGTATATTTATTAGGCGCTTCTGTTCCTCAAATCTAGGGTTAGTGATGAATGTGTACACTCCATTAAAATATGCATTAGAGAGCCAAGCAGAGTCTATTACCAGAAGATTGAAACCATTTAAATATTTGATAATCCATAGTTAATCCGCACTCTCTTCCAGCGCATCAAATGCGTCATGGCGAGGACAATACGAATACAAATACGAATACGAATACGAATACGAATACAATCTCTCAATTTGAATCAAGACAGCAGCAATCTCCAAAGATCTCATAGATGTTCTATGTAAATCCCACCCACCATATACCATATACCAAATACCATATACCATATATGAATGTAGCTCAATGCAGAAAGAAGAAATCTCTTAGGTGTCTCCCCAACCCGAATAATCGATTCACTGGTAGCTATGATCTATGAAAAGAAATGGAATGATATATGATAATGAATTGTTGTAATATGTCTTTGATGTAATTTATAAGTTGAGGATCCTTGAATTGTGATGATGTGAAATCTACAGTTAACATGCGAAACTATTCCCAGTTCAATGGGAAACGAACAAATGTCTTTACGAGTATATTAATGCTAAAACCAAAACCAAAAACCAAAAACAAAACTACTATAAATGTGTATCTATATGTATAAATACAACCCACACACACAACCAATCAAGCAAGCAAGCAAAACTGATTGTATTTTACATGCAGTCTGCAGGCGGAGTGGAACATCGCTTCAGACTATCCAACCAATACACCAAACATAAACACCAAATACCTAGAAGTCCACATAGTCTATGTGTGGTTTCTGATGCCCCAGCAAAGAATACTTATAAGGGAAGATCTATTACTACTACGCTGGATACCCAGTGTCCGCGTGTCCGTTCAAGATTGTCCGCCAGATCTCCCATTGCTGCAGGCAGCACTCTCTAGTCTTTGGTCTCCCATCTTGTGCCAGGGTATGCCATGCTTCGGTTCTCCGAACATTTGTCTAGCTGTCATGTACGAGTAATGTATGTTCTTCGATGTGCTGAATATTAACTTCTCTTCGGCATTCCACCCCCAATGTAAAAGTGTTAGATGTGAACAACAACTAATCTCAATTTTGTGTGTATGTCTGCGAGAAATTTAAATAAATGAAACTTAATCGACATCTACTATAATCCATAATGTTATCCATAGAGTATAGCAAATGATATCTCTGATGCAGGTTCTTGTGGTTTCTGTGTTGTAACGAAGCACCGTCGCTATGTAACAGAGATAATAACTTGAGTATATATTTGGGTACACATCAGAGTATACTAATAATCGTTAGATAAGATTGCAAAAATGGTTTCTACTCGAGCTGGGGCTTCCAGAAGTCGGGTATCTGAATCTCCTGGGTGTCGCCCAGTTCCAGCATCAGAACTGCCCCATTCTGGGCCTGCTCCATGGCCTGCACGAGATTCCTGGCACAGTCCTCTGGCTTCTGGCGCTTCACCCTCTGGAACATGTCCAGCATGGGTGTGTGGTAGGTGAAGGTCGTCTTGCTGGAGATGTCGTCCAGCAGGGGAGTCTCAGTGAATCCCGGACAAATGGTGACAAAGCTCACACCAGAGTGGGCGTAGTAAATGGGATTCTAAAGAGGGGAAAAGGTTCAGAAGCGAAGGATGACTTACAATCAGGACTTACAGCCATGGAGCGTGTGAAGGTGGTAACGCCAGTCTTGGCCGCTGAATAGATGGCCATCAGAGCCGTGGGTTGCAGTCCAGCCACAGAGGAAATGTTCACTATGAGTCCACCTCTGCCACCCTTTGCCTTGTCCATGTACTCCAGGGCAGCCAAAGTGCTCTCAATGACACCCAACTGAAAGGCAGGAGAAGCTCTTAGTTATTCCAGATCATCCTCAGGGATCGTTCCCTTACCAAGTTAATCTGGATGGTGAGCTCCACCAGGCGATCGTTCATCAGTCCACAGCCATTGACGACCACATCAAAGTGTCCCAGTCGCTCAGCGGTTGCCTTGTAGGCCGCCTCGATGTCCTCCTTCCTGGTGATGTCCACTTTCTGATGGAAGATCTCCGTGCCCGGACTGCCTGCCCGCCACTCGGCCAGCGCCTCAGCATTCTCCGTCATGTCAAAGACGGCCAGTGCCTAGAAGTTTGACTGCATTAAGTGGGCCATCAACCGAGAGCGAGAACCAACCTTCAGCTGCCGCCGGAGCAGCTCTTGCACACACTTCTGGCCAATGCCGCCGAATCCTCCAAGGTAAACCACATTCTTGCCAGCCAAATCCATGTCGCTGTTGCTCCAATGGTCGGATCGGGTGAACTGCGTTCCACGACGGACGTTGGACTACTGACAAACAGAATCAAAGGTGCTAACTGGGGGGCCAAAGCTTTTGCTCTCGAGAGCGGCAACTTCCGACTGAAATTTAATTCGATTAAATGTGCCAAGAGATGCTATGACTAGAGAGTGCAGGGAGAGGCTGATAGGGGGAGTACGAGTCGGAGAACTTCAAGTGAAATGGAAGGGAAAAGAAAGGGAATCAGTCTACCAAGACGGATCCAAGAGATCTCTTAGCCATCGCTCACCAAAGAGTTACCAAAGAGACTTCCCTGATTCCGTGTTTGCTGGCAATCAGGTTGTGGTTACCATTTCCGTACGAGTTGAGACTTTTGGAGTGATTGCGCAACCTGCAGCCCCATGCAGCGACATCCGACTGCCACCGATATCAATATTAAGTTCACTGTTGCAACATCCGTGTGGTGGCGGTAGCGGTAGCACCAATTGTGACAATCGGATCATATCGGTTTGCAGATTTCGAGGTCATTGTGCAGAGGCTCCTCTCGGGTTACCACCCACCCACAGGTGGTATAAAAACCCATTGGAACACCAACAGCAGCATCAGTTCAAGCTTCCACAGACTCCGAGGAGGATGAACTACTTCATTTGGACAACCATTGTGGGTCTGCTGGCCCTCGCGTCGGCGGACAATGTTCCACGTCTTCGATCCGGCGAGGAGCAGAGCAGAACGGAGGTCAGAGCTGGCCGTCGCTACCAGGAGCAGGACACGGCACGCGCCTTCTACTCGTATGGCTACAGCGACGACACGGCGGCACGGGCAGAGTACTCCTCCCGCGATGGCTCCTCCAGGGGCTTCTACTCGTACGTGGATGCCGATGGCAAGCTGCAGACGGTGCGCTACGAGGCCAGTCGTGGCCAGGGCTTCAAGGCGGAGGGCAGCAGCCTGCCGCAGGCACCAATCGATGAGGGAAAGCCGCCGCTGCCCGTCGCCGACACGGAGGAGGTGCAACAGGCGCGTTCCGCCCATCTGAATGCCCTGCGGGAGGCCCGAGAGAAGTCCGAGAGAAGGCAGCAGGAAAGCAGAGCCCAAGCCACTGCCAATGAAGCTGAAGAGCGGAATCTCAGCGATGAGGATGCCGACATTCTGGAGCGGGTGCGAGCACAGCTGTCAGCCATGCTGGCGGATCGTCAGCGATCCAACAATCTGCCGCAGATCAACGAAGACACAGCGGATGAACGGCAGACCGCAGCTGAGGATCAAAGAAAGGGCGATCGAGAGACTGAAGGGGATGCCCGACTGCGCACCGTCTACTCCCTGGGGGGCCTGAGCTCCAGCAGCTACCTGAAGCTGGGCGATCTGCAGGATCGTTTGGGCTTGAGCAGCGGCGATCTCCGAGTGCCGGTTGGGGCCTACTACACCCTCGTCTCGCCCAGCGCCAAGTACAGCGTGACGACGCCCACGGAGCTGCGAACCCTGCGTCCCGTGGCCCTCAGTCGCAGTTTGTTGGTGAGCAAACGCAACTGATGGGAGGATCAATGGAAGCATTGGAGGATGGATTCTATGAATAAATGCAAGACAGCGCACCATTGTGCCAAAAGCGAGTGAATTTTCATTTGCAATTTCCAATTTGCAGCATTTATTGGCTCAACAATCAACAGAAGATCTCAACCAGAGCAAAGATCAGACACGCACTGGCAGATAGTCCCTCGAGGGTGGGCTCTGAGTGCCAGTCTGGGACTTGTGGAAGTTGTAGACATATCCAGTGAGTGGCTGATGGACGTAGAGCGGCTGGGATCGGACTGCGATCGTTGGGACTGTGACTGGGACTCGAATGAGCTGCTTCTCGCTGAGCAGTTGGTTGCGCAGCTTCTCGGCCTCGAATCGCTTGAAGAAGGCCACCTTGGCGGCAGCCACCTCAGGTGTATCCTGCACGGGCTGTGGCAGCTCCACGGCAGCTCCTGAGGCATCTCCTGCCAGCCGCAGCTTGGCCTGCGCATGCGCAGCCAGGTGCTGGGCCCTCAGGGCAGCCACCTCGGGCGTCTCCTCGTTGGCCTGCAGCTGGCCGTGGCTGGAGCTGACCCGGAAGCCCTCGGTGTCTGCCACATAGTCCGTGGTCTGTGTCTCTCCCCTGGCATCCACGTAGGAGAAGGTGCCGCGTATCACTCCATCCACGGTGCGTGTCTCGTGCTTGGAGTACAGCGGCGCCACATACCCATAGGAGTACTGTCCGTGCTCGTCCTGCGTGTGGTACTGGGAAACGCTGTCGCCCGCAGGCGGTGCTCCATATTCCAGCAGCGGGGAGGCCACAGCAGCACCGGCGATGATCATCAGGCAAAGTAGTTTGAGGGAATGCATCTTGCTTTTAGGATTCGTGACTTCTTTTTTGGGGCGCTGCTAGTGTCGTGGACTAGTACTCGCTCTAGAGAACTCTGTGCTGGCATCGATTGGGGATTCTGCTTTTTATACGCGTCCAGGTCGGATGTCTCTCTCTCTCTCTCTCTCTCTGTCTCTGTGACAGCCGAAAATTCGTACATTTCGTGAGTTCTCAGGAAGGTCGTCTGGTTCCTGGTTTACTTTCATTTATGCCCCAGCCACTGCCACTGCCACAGCCACTGCAGCATCTGTCTCTGCTTTGGGATTATTGTTCCTTCCTTCCTTCCTCTGGAAATGGGAATGGGACGGGGACTGGGACTGGGGCTTCCTCCACTGTTTGTACATAAATATTTTGTCGATTTCGATTTCAACAAGTCCAGCATAAATTTGTGCACAAAAGCCGCAATTTGTTTTCAACTGTGCCCCTGCCACAAGGGACATGAACAACTCTGTACAACGTTCAACAATGTTGCTGCCTGCCTGCCACAAACCAAAGAACTTAATCAGGGCCTGTTTTTGCAAGAGAGAGAGAGAGGCACAGAGAGCGACTCTGAGGTCGGGGCCTCCTCTGGTTTGACGAGGCAGAGGGGTCAAGGAACCGGGTTGGGCTGCGGCTGATGACCAGTTTGGGCTGGGATGTTTTTCGGGATGTGGTTTGCGCTGTGGTTTATGCTGCTATTAAATTTAATTGAAATCAAAACTCACAATTCACATTTATGCGGAGTTGAGGTAGGACAGGGTCCGGTGCGGGATGGCAACAGAAGGAAAACCCCAAAGTAGTTTCACAAATATTTGACTTTATTTTGAATTTCGAAATCCAGGATTGATGCTGCACAGCTGCCCCTCTCAGTAGTAGAAGCCGGAGGAGTAGTACTGGGGCCGAGTGTAGCCGTAGACGGCAGCTGGAACCACGACGTGGTGGCTGCGGGCCACTGGCACGGGCACTGCGATGTGGGGAGTGAGAATCTCGTTGCGCTGCTGCTCATCGTGGAGACGCTTCAGGTGGAGGGCCTTGGCGGCGGCCACTTCAGGAGTGTCGCCCACGGGCTGGGGGAGTTCGTGGCCTTCGGGATGAGCACGGCCAGAGGGATGCTCTGCCACATGGCCAGCTGGATGCTCCACAGGATGATACTCCACGGGATGGTGAACTGCCTCGGGATGGCCCACAGCTGGAGGATGAGCACTGCGGCCAGTGCCCACGTGGGAGGAGGAAGGCTCAGCGATGTGTCCAACAGGATGCTCCACGGAATGGGGAAGCTTCACGGAATGATGTTCCACGGGATGATGGACAGCCACGGGATGCACTCCGCTGCCATGCGAGGCACTCCTCCCGGTCACCAGCTCTCGGGGAATGACTGCCTTGGGCAGATTGGTGGCTGCCACATGGAAGCCCTGGGCATCGGCCAAGTAGTCGACGGTCTGCAGCTTGCCTGCGGCATCCCTGTAGCTGTAGGTGCCCCGCGTGGTGCCATCCAGGGAGCGGGTCTCCTGCTTGGAGGACAGTGGCTCGGCATAGCCATACGAGTACTGGCCAAGGGCATCCTGCGAGATGTACTGCTGCTGCGTGGGCGTGTACACAGCCGATCCTCCGGCGGAGTAGACGAACGGATAGGAGGCCGCGTACAGGGCCAGGCCATGGGCCATGCCCAGGCAACCCAACAGGAGGAGTGGATACTTCATGCTCTCAATTATCGCTGTGTTCCGTTTGATGCTGCAACTCTTTGAGTTCTGCTGCTTGTGGGCTGCTCTCGGGATCCTTTTATACACCCCGAGATGGCGGGTTCTAGTTCTGGTTTTGGGTTCTAGATGCCAGAATGCCCCTGCCATTGCTGTCCGATTGAATGGAAAGCAAACGAGGCGATCGCTGGCTGTCGTGTGTCCACTTGTGTCGTTAACGGACAACAGCTACAGGCAGGCCCCATTCCCATTCCCTTTCCTGTGACTACTCTACAGGCGTCATGTCCATTTGGTTTAATTGTGGAGTGGATATCTGTGGTGCCTGCTGGCATCTCCATCTCGCCATCTTCCCCATCTGCATTTGTGGCTCCTCTGCTGTTATTCCAGAGCCTTGACTTGCCGCTCATCAAGGCCACAGACTGCAGCAGCAGCCAACCCAAGCGATCTTCAGCCCAAGTAATTGATATGCAGTTGCCTCCTGCCTTGCCCCATTGTGCCCCATCTTCGGCCTCTTTACGGTGCATGTACTCGCGACTCGCAACTCGCACATTATGGACGGTAACGGCAGACTGCGGCAGGCACCCAACGGCATCTCAAGGTGAGTGAAGGCCAAGGGCCACATTTGGCCCCAACGTTGCAGCGTGCCGGACTCGGGCTGGACGCTGCTGGTATCTCGTGTATCTGTAGCTGTATCTGCTCTGCTTTAAGCTGGGGTTTGGGCTTGGGCTTGGACTTGGGTTTATTTTTAGCCGCTGCTTTTATCGATGCAGAGACAGAGGCAAGGGCTCCTGCCTGATTAGGAGGCGGAGTGTTGGCCTTGACTGCTGCCTGATAAGTGCATTTTAATGTTAGCCCCCAGTGTGTGTGTGTGTGTTTGTGTGTGTGTGTGTGTTGGCACTCTGTTTCAATCAAAGCAAAGCAAAGCCAGAGCTTAATGATCTTGTTAGTTCTGGGACATCGAAGTGTGGATGTGGCTGTGGTTTCTGTCTGTTTTGATCTGGTTTACTTAGTGCACTTCCAGTGGAGATGCAAATAAATATATTAACATAGGTGCAGACTGATTTGTGAACCATTTTCAGAGTCTTGTTTCTCTCTTTGGGCTAATTAGAGTTGTAGTAAAGATAGCACCAGGTGTCGATATTTATTGGCCTTTGTTTTGGCTCGTTTGAGGCCCTTACAGAGTTTCCCACGAGTATATGGATGTACTAAGGCAGAAAGAAAGACGGATAGTGGGAGAGAGGTGTGAAGAGAGTGTAGAGTGGGAGAGAGTTAAAACTGTTAAATAATGTGGAAAGCCCCAACATTGAGAAGCGCGCTGTTAAAGCTCTGTTCTGTGTTAAGAATTATGTTAAGTTACATAAAATGTTAGTTAAATGTTAGACAGCAGAAATGTGCGGAGAAATCCGCTATTTATATGTTGTTCCAATGCAAATGAAATGTTAAGTACATGTTATGTTTTTATTGTATGGAAGAGCTACGTCTATTCCTCTTCCTACTGTATCCGAACTACGGACTTGTTTCCTTCTTGTACTTTGTTTTGCTTTTGGCCAGACCTAAGCATATGACTTCATCCACATAGCAAACCAAATAATTCTGACAGACACTAGCCATAAATCATTGTCAAAGTTTGTTTTTTTTTCGTTCAATGCTATTGAGGGTTTGCTTTGGGCTGTGATTTTATTGTGTGCCAAAGCAATTTCCTTATGACTTCCTCCTGGTGACTTTTTACTTTCTCTTAGCATTAGCATTTTTCCACCTTTCACCCACACACTTCGGCGGAGGCTCTTTGTCAAGTTCAGAGAACTCTTAATCACTTGTGTGAGGCTCACAGCAAGTCATTTGCATAGTAAAACATTGCCATGAGCTCACTAGTTAGAGCACCTACTAAACACACCCACTAACTTCTCACACTCTTTCTTCCCCTCATTACGCTCTCTCTTGTCTCTGTCTCTCTCACTTGTTGTGCGTGTTTGCTCTTGTCGCACAATTTCACGCATTTCGCGCTACGCTTTGTTTTGGCGTTGCGGACAGACACATAAAAATCGGCTGTAAAACCTCCAGCTCAGCCCCCTAGCCCCCTAGCCACCTAGCCCCTCCCCCAGCACCAGCACTGTCATTTCCCTGGCAAGCTTTAAGCTCTAGTTCCCTCTCTCTCCCACCCTCCCCACTATATTTTGCACTCAAAACAAACAACAGTTCGAGTCCAAGTCCGATTCCGAGTGAAACTTGTTGGTCTGATAAGACGTCACCTTTTTGGCTACACTTTTTCTCCGAGTTTCTTTCTGCGTTTGTTTCCTTCTCTTTTGTGTTTTGATTTTTTTTTGATAAATGGCTTTGTCGTGTGGCTGTCTTTTGCTGTTAGTTTTTGTGTTTAAATTGGCAGAAATGAAGTCATCGCTGGGTATACCAAAAGTATTCCCAAAATGATTTTGCTTGGGAATCTAAGATTATATTCAGATATAATCTCTCTCTCTCTTTAGCTCTCCATCATTGGGGTTTACTTTCTGTCGATGCGTCTCTCTGTGGGTTTGTTTTGTTGATTGTTCGGAGGATGTGCTCATCGCTGGGCATTTGTTTTCCCACTCAAACTCAAAGCTCTCTGCAGTCCGGAATATCACTCATACGCCGAATGGGCTTTGGCCTTTGGCTGCGCATTTGTCCAAACAGTTGAGTCTCGACATCGACAGCATTCGCGCGCGCCCTCCCAAAAGTAGCTCGAGAAACGTCCAAGGAACATCCAAGATATTTTGGCAAATTATACGGAAATTTTCGCCAAATTTACTTGACTTCAAATGTAAGTAGGAAAAGTGTGAAAAATCCCCGCGGGAAAATGCTGTTTTACCCTGCCATTGTTTGGATTTTTCATCTGAATGTGCGCGGAGGCTGTGCGGGTTTTCAAGAGCACTCGGTGACCCACTTCCCGTAACCCATTTGAATGGGATTTGAATGGCTCCCGCGCACCCATTTCGTAGTTCCGATTTCCTGGATACCCATTGTTCTGTGGCATCGTTGCTTCCCACTCCATCTCGCACTCGTATCCTTCGGTATGTATGCCTGTGTCAGCCGACATCCCTGCCCCCCATCCTCCGCCCTGCGCTTGCGCGCTCCTCACATCACCAAGTGATGTCATCTGGGGGAATGTATAGCGAACTGATGTATGCGGGACCAGAGACCAAAGCATAAGCCCCCCTCCTAACTCAATGATTTCTCTATTGCGTTGCGTGTTTATCAGAATTCCCCTTCGCTTCCTGTTTGGGGGGGCACTCAAAAAATATGATTTTAATTTATGCATTCAACATAACAAACCTAACATTCTCTTATGTATTTATGTATGTATTTATGTGCGAGTGTGTGGTGCTGCATTTCATAAAGTTCCCGCCTCCCAGCTATAAATAAAGCACCAGCAAGATGACCCAAATATTCCCTCCAGTATTTGTGGTTGTCCACCATCCACCATCTCTGGGTGCACTTGAGGTAGGTTTTTGCCTAACCCCCGGAAGTCAAGCCAACTCGTACATACTTGTGAATATATTCCCAATTAACTTTTGCCATTTTGGTTAAAAGCTAATTAAAATGTTGGAAACGAAATGCCCTCCTCCCCCTCCCCAATTGGCGGCAATCGGAAACTTGTTCGTCAGATCAGAAATATCTACTCAGGGCAGTGGGAATGGGAATGGAAAACGAGAGGAAAGAGAGCACAAAAAAAAAGAAACAAATTATTTATGGTCTGGCAGTCAGAGCGGATTATTTTTGATTTAGACCATCCACCGGCCACCGGCCACCGGCCAGGGGGATGTTCAAGTACTCTTTGACTTGGGGCACAACTCGGAAAGGGTATTCAGCCACCGAGGTATTCCTGAATCAACATCTACTCATAGTTTTCTCAATTATTTGTTGATACTGATTGATTGAATGAACTCCGAAGTCTTGGTTTTACTTGGCCCAGCATTCGGAAACATCTCTTTCTTTTAGAATATTTATTACTTCCTCCCCGAAGACCTTTCCCTCCAAGAGCATTCTCAGTTCTCCTTTGCTCCAAACCGAAACCTCTCCATGCATATTTCCATCTTCATTTTGCTGTGCTGTAGTTTGTCAACTTTTCTTGTTTCTCGCTATTTATGGCTTCCAATTACCAGTCAGGGGCGGAGTAAAGGGTTTCCATTAGTCTTCTCTGCAGCAGCAACAGAGTCCCAGTGGAGTTCAAGTTCAATGGCACAGCGCAGCGTGTCTCGGGCCTAAGAAGATGATTAATGAGGGAATTATGATGCATGACATGCTCTCTCGATTGACCATCGCGATTGAAAATAGTGGATTTTGGAAATATATACCCATACGAGAGTAGGAGCCCCACCCCAGCAGAGCCCCCACATTAGAGGCTGATCCCATTTGCCAGAGTAAACGTAATCGACATTTGAAACGAGCTGCGTAATGAGGCGATGACATAAGCAAGCGACTAGCAGCACTCGCGGAACTCTACGAGTCGATTAGGTTTTCACTTGCGGGTAGAACTCATTATTGGCTTTGGGGCGGGGTCTCCAGTCGGATAGCATTTGACATGCTCGACGGACTGCATCAAGGTCTCCCAAGTGGGGTGGCGG